ACCTTGAACACCGACGAATGTGGTGGACACTTCGTGGCCAGCATCGCATATTTCCTGTTTTCTTTTCAATTATTTTAGTGAAGACGAACAAACAAACTTTTGTCTTACCTTCCTCGCAAAGTGACCCAGTAAAGCCTCCAGGACACGAACATCTGTAGCCATGAAGGTAGTTGTTACAAGTACCATTATTTGCACAAGGGTTGCTGAAACAATGGTCAACAGCTGTGGATAAAGAGGAGAGGAATTCTGAGATGAACTTTGAGTTCTTTGATTGACTCCCTTCACCCCTCCTCCTCCCCCACCTTCGTCCGGTCTGCCGGTCCCCCGTCCACCATTAGACCTACGACCATCATTATCACTATTATTATCATCATCATCAACATCATCATCAGTATCATCATTATCATCGTCGTCGTCGTTGTCCTCAACATTAGCATTATGAATAACAACTCCAATATTTCTCTTTTCTTTTCAATCATTTTAGTAAAGACTAACAAACAAATTGTTACATTACCTTCCTCGCAAAGTGATCCAGTAAAGCCTTCAGGACACGAACATCGGTAGCCATGAAGAGAGTTGTTGCAAGTACCATTATTTGCACAAGGGTTGCTGAAACAATGGTCAACGGCTGTGGATAAAGAAGAGAGGAATTCTGAGATGAACTTTGAGTGCCTTGATTGACTCCCCTCGCCCCTCCCTACCTTCGTCCGGTCTGCCCGTCCCCCTTCCACCCTTAGATCTACCATCATCATCGGTAGTCATGCAGAGAGTTGATACAAGTACCGTTATTCTCAGATGGGTTGCTTAGAAGTTGAGTTATAGCATTTATCTACCTCTAATTCGGTTGCGTTATACCCTTGACATACCTTCGCCGATCATTTCATGAACCCTCCAGGGTATTTCCATTATTTCGACGTGTGTAGTGCGAAGCACCGTCGCTGAGCGGGGATGACTAGCCATATTGTTGACTTGCGTGACATCGAACCAATTCCCCAATGCAACTACGATGATAGTTACATTCATGTCACGCAGCAATTTAGACGCAACCGAAACCACATCGTTAGAAGTCTCATCAGTGAACACTACTAGGACGCGATGTGCGTTCGCACGGCTATTGTTAAAGAAATGTTCTCTTGTGTAATTAAGTGATTTGCCGGTGAATGTTCCTTCAGGAAGGTGTGGTAACAGGTCCAGGGCTTGATTTGTTTCGTTTCTCGTGGCATTAAAGTTACCCACTGTGGTAGTATCAGCTGCATAGAGGACTAGTCCAACCCTTGTGTTTTGACTTGGAAAGTAGCTTAACGTGGACTTGATCACTTGCACTATTTGATTGGAAATATTTCTGTGTGCCTGAGGCTGAACAGTGGAATCATCTATCATAAACACCAGGTCAATCATGGTTTCTTGGAACACTGTCGAATACAAATGGTAGTACGTAAGTATGTAACACGGTGTGTTGTGTCGTTTTTGGGTGTTGTTCTTGGGATCGACAACTTAAAATAAGCAAGCTGAATTTATATGTATATCATATTATGAGGGACTGGGGATTGCCCTCCTCAGACGGGGATTGCTCAAGTGCAGGTTATTGTTATTACTATTATTTCTTTCTATTTTGTAGACAAAAATGAAAGCCAATTTTCAATGCTGTGAATCAAAAGTTGGCCCCCGCTTGACGGGTATACTTTGAGCTCCTTGATTGGCTCAATTCGTCCATATGTCCATTCGTCCGTCCGCCCTCCCGTCCATACCCCGCCCACCCGTTCACCTATATAAAGCCTATTTTTTAACTGAGAGTTTTTATCATGCAACGTTAAGTTAACGTTAGTTAACGCTGATGCCTTGAATGTTATGTATGGATAAATACGCACTTCCTATGTATTCAATTGATATAGAAGCTTTCAGCCATACCTTTGGTGCAGTTTTTCCCAGCAAATCCCAGTTGGCAGTTACAAATATAGTAACCCATTCTCTCATCACAAGTTCCTCCATTCTGACAGACATTGTCGGCCATTGAGCATTCTTTGACATCTAGAAAAAGAGGAAACGACCGCTCTGTTACAAACATCTCCCATGCAAATTTAACACCATTTTTTTTTCTTTTGTCCTCTATTACCTTGTTCGCAGTGAGGTCCAGTCCATCCTTCAGGGCATGCGCAGTAGTAAGAATTCAGCCTTAACACTTGACATAAACCACGATTCTTACAGGGATCAGGACTACATGCATCATTGACTAAGAAAACAAACAGAACAATCATTCAGAGCGAATAAATTTCGTGCTGGGCAGTCTTACTATCTGTGCTTTAACCACAGTGCAGTCATGACTACCTTGTTAGGCAGATATTGTGGAAAATTTAAAAGTTACTAGCTGAATCTATCCTAGTTTCCAAAGCATTGTCTATTACATTAATATCTTACTGGGTGTAATTTTAGACGGAGAGCTAGTTTTAATACTAATCACGCGATTTTACACTTTACCTTAACTCCTACAGCCCCCTTTCCCTTTCCCTTCGAGGTTTACTTGCGATAATCAAGCTTTTTTTTGTTCTCACGTTGTTTGAATATCCTGCAGACTAAATGTCAGAAGGTTGATCAAGAGAAAAAGAGATATAAGAATTTATGTTTTTGACCCAGCTTGTTGAATAAATACCTGCTGCAATATTCCATCTGAATTTAGGTCGGAGCTTGACTGTTAAAAATAAATAAATAAATAAACTAGAATAATAATAAAATAGTCGCACCTTGGTCGCAGTTTATCCCTGAATACCCCGGCTGGCAGAAGCAAGTGTATCCACCCCCAAAAGATTGACATGTGCCATTCACACAGGGACCACTAGAACATGGATCTAGAGCTGAAAGTAAACAGAAATAGTCTAATTTGAATATTCAATAATTATACAATTTCTCATCATTTGTTTTTAATGGCATATGGAAAGAAAAGAAAAAGGTGTGTACTAACCAGAGAATAACTTTTCCCTTAACGGAACAACTTGAGTTGAAAGATCATGCCCATTGGGGGACGTATGAATATAGTTTGTGTCTGGATCTGAAGAGACCTCATTCAGTTGCCCATGGCTATACTGATTACCAACCGCAAGGACAAACACTTTTACATTGTAAAAATTAAGCAGCATGTTGGACGGAACCAAGAGATCGTCTTGAGATTTGCTAGCTGTTAGGATGACCAAGACTCTTGTGGCATTTGGTCGCGGGTTACTTGTGTTGTACAGCTTTGAAGCAAGATGTAAGAGAGCTTCACCCAAATTACTCTGAAGACTTGCAGTATAACGTGCGTTGTCTAAGACGTGATCTATGGCGGACTGATTGTACTGATTGTGTATGATGAGGGCTGGAGCGGCTCCATATATGGCCACACTAACACGTGTTTCATCCCTTGAGAGATTTAAAGACGCACTGATCGCCTTGGCGAAGGATGTGAAGCTCAGGAAATTTTGTTCAGTCACCACTTGACTGCCGTCAATTAAAAAGGCGAGGTCAAGTTTCGTATCGATACCTAAGGTTAAATAATAGGATTAAAACACAGGGATAAAACACCGTTCTACTGACTCCCCGTTTCGTGGCTTACGATCCCAGAAGCTTAAAATTGTATACCAAAGAAGTATAGCAGGAATGAAATAATACTTTTTTGTGTGTGTGTGGGAATCTCATTAACTTGCGGGAGAATATATTAACGCCATGTCTGAAAGTGTTAGAAATAGACCTTATTCACAATGCCCGCCATCTATGCACGCGCTCTAGGATCGATGGGATAAAAGCTATGTCACGTGGTATTTCAGGGGGCAAACAAGTGATAAAATTTGCCAATACTAGTGATCGCAGTCAAGTTTGTTTATACTATCAAAACGAGACGACGATGCCATAGTCATTCAAAATGTACATGTGCAAGATTTACGTCATCACTGTTTGCCATGAGGACATCTACGATCGCTAGTGCATACAAAAAAGTAACAATGATCACTGCTACACATATTTGACATTATCGTCTTTAAAATGAAAAAGTCTTCATTTCTTGTTGTCTAGAATAAACGCACTCAACCGCGATTTCTTCCATTGGCAAGTTTTTTTCACTTGTTTTTCCCCTGAGAAACCACGTGATATTGCTTTTATCCCATCAGTCCTTGAGCGCGTACAAAGATGGCGGGTATCGTGAATAAGATCTATTGCTGGAAAACAAAATGAATTAATAAATAAAAATCAATGGCTTGAATTGTAACTATAAACGTGAAATTACTGTGTTAAGTGTACTTACTGTATTCACAGCTCTCTCCATATTGACCACCGGAACAAATGCACTGGTATCCACCTCTGGTATTCATACAACGTTTTTGGTCTTTGCAATTTGCTTCGCTAGCAATACATTCGTTGATGTCTGATTAAAAATAATTGTTACATGTTTGCTAAGCATGTTAGATAACTAATACATAAATACATTCCCTTATTGCCAGGTATTTCGAAGCATAGGAATTTCCGCAAATGACAAAGAAGTTTAGAAGAAACATTCCTTCGCAACCGTATATTTCTTTACGTTTTCTCGAAATTCTTCAAGATATAGATTCCTGTTCAATTTCAAGCTCAGATAAACTGGGCACAAAAAAATTAGAGCACCTCAAGACAACTCGTTATAAGAATCTGGCATTGTTTTTTTTCTTGCAAAATTCAATTTAGCCTTTCCTGTCTTAAGAAGCAAGTGTTAAATACCTATTTCACAGGTGTGACCTTTAAATCCGCTGGGACATGAACATGTGAAGTTGCTTCCCGTTCTTGAACAGTTACCTCCATTCTGACATGGAAATGAGGAGCATGGATTCACAGCTGGAGAAGAAAAGACGATTTACTTTTTGGTTAGAGCTTTCCGATGTTGATTGTGGACTTAAAGTCATTACTTCAACGGGCAATTAAGAGTGAATGAATATCTCATTTCTTAACGATGGAGAACACAAGTCCGTATAGTCTAACTTTGAGTTCTTTAAAGCAAAAGGGGCCCACGGTAGAACCAGTCTTCTTATGCATGAATGTAGAAATACCGCTGGATCAAAGTAATTGATATGATGCTAGTTTCAACTGATGAAGATTGTATTGTATGCATTTAATTGTAGTTGGGTAATTTCACTTAACCCTAAGGAGGGCTAAAGAGAAGGGGAACTCATACGGACATGTTGCTCGCCGAAAAAAATGGAGATCATGTTTTGTCCATTTCTATAGAACTGACGTTAAATGAAAACTTTCTCTAGAGACGCTGATAGCGGACTACTGGCAATTTTAGAGGATGACAAATTCACCTTGGGAGACCGCGCCGCTCACAGAATTTTCCATGGTGTCCATATGCTGATAGCTTGTTGTCACCAAGTAATGAGATGCTGGGGTGCTNCCTTTAAATCCGCTGGGACATGAACATGTGAAGTTGCTTCCCGTTCTTGAACAGTTACCTCCATTCTGACATGGAAATGAGGAGCATGGATTCACAGCTGGAGAAGAAAAGACGATTTACTTTTTGGTTAGAGCTTTCCGATGTTGATTGTGGACTTAAAGTCATTACTTCAACGGGCAATTAAGAGTGAATGAATATCTCATTTCTTAACGATGGAGAACACAAGTCCGTATAGTCTAACTTTGAGTTCTTTAAAGCAAAAGGGGCCCACGGTAGAACCAGTCTTCTTATGCATGAATGTAGAAATACCGCTGGATCAAAGTAATTGATATGATGCTAGTTTCAACTGATGAAGATTGTATTGTATGCATTTAATTGTAGTTGGGTAATTTCACTTAACCCTAAGGAGGGCTAAAGAGAAGGGGAACTCATACGGACATGTTGCTCGCCGAAAAAAATGGAGATCATGTTTTGTCCATTTCTATAGAACTGACGTTAAATGAAAACTTTCTCTAGAGACGCTGATAGCGGACTACTGGCAATTTTAGAGGATGACAAATTCACCTTGGGAGACCGCGCCGCTCACAGAATTTTCCATGGTGTCCATATGCTGATAGCTTGTTGTCACCAAGTAATGAGATGCTGGGGTGCTTACAACTTGTTCCAACTGGGGTATGTTAAAATTGCTGTCAATAGCGATGACTATTATCTTAACTCCTTCATCTCGAAGAGTTTGCGAAATTACAGCAAATCCCTGACTTAGTGAGAAACTAACGAATATCACCAGGACGTCAGGGACGTTGGGTCGTCCAGTTGGAAAGATTTCTTGCCTGGTAATGTTCAAGGCGTTACCAAGATTAAGTGGTGTCTCGTCAAGGAAGGGTATCCTTTCAATAGCAGCAGCTACCGCCTCGTGACTGAAGTGTTGCGTAAAGTTGAAACCGACAATGGTATTATTGGCATATACGGCAGCGGCCACATTTGTTTCTCTCTTAGATATATTATAGTTGGAGAGGAAAGCCTTTGCAAAGAGCAGGGTTTGGTAAAAATGACTTGATCCTAAGTACGAAGAGCCATCAAACAACAGGAGGACGTCAAAAGTGTCAGCTGGTATTCCTACGAGAAACGAATACGACACGTCTTTTTAGAATACGACATACAGTGAGAATTCCATGCTCAGTTATGGTTAGTTATGGTAACGTACCTTATCTTTATTAAAGTAATTTTTTAAAAAGACTGCTTGCTCAAGTTTTACCGTTTATTTAATATCTTTTTTTACAGGAAACTGTGATTGATCGACTTAGTGGATAGAATTTCTCGGTACAAACCTCTGAATATTAAGGAAGATGGAAGAGCTTTGTAAAGCTGTTGTTTGAACGTAATGAACTGTGAATATGTTTTACGAGTCACTAAATGCTTTTTCCCAACTTAATTGCAGGATTTAGAAGCCACTGATCCTTTTTAACTGCGCTTGGAATTGTCGCGCTTCGATCATTAACGGCCCTTCAGTTTAACTGAAAAAATTCCCGTTCTCTATTTAAACCCGTAGATACACTGCAAAATATCCATTTGGGGCCTCATCCTGTTGGTCCGTACTGTTATGGAACCTGGATTTTATGGCCCGCACGCCGGGCGCATCTGCTATTATAAAACGAGGCAAAACAACAACAACAACAACAACAACAACAACAACAACACAACAACAAAAACAAGAAATCAAAACAATTACTTTACGGCCCTCTTACTGGGCTGGTAGGAGG